TGTGTGCTCTGTGCTGACTGTGAATAGAATGTGACCAGGTGTGTGTGTTCAGTGCGGCCTGTGGATACAATGTGACCAGGTGTGTGTGCTCTGTGCTGCCTGTGGATACAATGTGACCAGGTGTGTGTGCTCTGTGCTGACTGTGGATAGAATGTGACCAGGTGTGTGTGCTCTGTGCTGCCTGTGGATACAATGTGACTAGCTCCTTCAGGCTCACTCTGCCTTGACCTCCCCACCACAATGGACTATAGCCTTCAAGATGAACCCCTTCTCCCTGTAGGAGTGAGCAAAAAGGGCAAGTCCTGAGTGAGTGTGTATCGCTGACATGGGAACATGCTGAAGACCTGCTTCCATGGGGGTAGGGGTGAGGTGGGGACTTCAGGTCCCAAAGAACATTTGTGGAGTCGGCATGGGGTGGGGGCAGACAAGAGCTGAGGGTGAATTGGGATAGCTGCCAGCAGCTCTTTAAATGGGGGAAAAAGCAACAACAAACTACAGCTTTATATCGCATAGTTGCATTTAGAATTAAACAGGGAGAAAAGGGGCATGTGAGCTGGGGTGTAACTTGAGATCAGAAACTGAGGAATCTAGGATTCATCTTGACAATAGGTAGCAGTCACTGTTAATAGAAGGGTCACAAGTTCCTTTTGCTAGAGATAAGAAGAATGACTGCTTTATCAAGCAGGAACTTTCCTCAAGCCCCCCAGGGAATGGAAACCCTAATCCAGATGCCTGACTCTGGGAAAAGGACTTCTGGAGCAGACGCTATAGTACACTTTCTTAGTCTTACTATATGGGCCTGTTCCCCTCAATAATGCTCTTAAAAGGGAAGTCCTGATGTCTTACTCTTATTCCATTATACTGTACCATTCTGATTTCTCTGTATTTATTAACTGAACTCTTATCTTACCTTTGTTGGCCTCAGGCTCTGGATCTGAACTGTAGACATTTTATCCTTGGAGTCAGGTGTGTCTAGTAAATCTCTAACCTAACGTTCCTGTCCTTGGTGTGATTAGGAGGGCACAATGGAATTCCTGATTCCAAGGTGGTGGGGATTTTTTTTCCAAAGAATTACTTTGTTTGGAGAGGCTACCATTGTCCACATTTTTATACTTTTATCAAAGACCACACAAAATTTCCCAAAGGGAAAGGCACTAATATCGGTAGTGGCGCACACCTTTAATTCTAGCGCTTGGGAGGCAGAGACGCAGGAGAATCTTTCTGAGTTTGGGGCCAGCCTGGTCTACAGAGTGAGTTCCAGGACAGCTAGGGAGGGATACACAGAGAAACACTGTTTTGAACACCCTCTGCCCCAAAAGTAAAAGGTGCTGGAGAAGTGTGGTCTGGGGAAAGTTTCTGTACCCTGATAAGCCTCTCTGTCAAAGCAGCAATCTAAATCAGACTGAATTAGAAAAAGCCCAGGTTTAACGGCAAAAAACCCACTCCTGGTTGATTTTTCTGGGCCCCTGAGAGGAAACGGGAAGAGATACCAATAAATAAATATATATTTATTTAAATATATATTAAACAAACAAACAAACCACACATGTCTGTTTTCTGTGGGGGACAGTTTAAATACCTTGTGGGAGTGGTCTTGGGCATCTCTTGGGGAGGAGCCATGTTTGGTGGGCTTTCTGAAGTGAGGCAGTGTTTGGGGAGAGAAAGAAGGGGAAGGGAGATTGAGGTGGAGCTGCCATTGGAACATCCCAGACTCTTTGGGTATCTGGATGCCAGGGACTGGGGTGGAGCTTCAACCAGAACAGTATGAAATGTCAAAAGTGCTAGAACTCAGTCAAGCAGCAATGGTCGCCATGAGGGCCATGCCAGGCATATCCATGTTAAAGACTCCACAGGAGTGGCAAAGCCTTTCCCCTCTGTGATGTTTAGAGAGATGGCAAAGTCTTCCTCACGTCTGACAGTGTGTGCAACATGTCTACGCCCCATGTTTAAGGCCTTTAGATTGTTCCCCACAGAAACTGTTCCAACTGAGTGAGCTTGAACCTGCCTCCTTTTCAGCTGTTCCTTTTAACAACTGCTTCACTGTCCTCCTGTACACAGGAAACACACTGAGTGCTGCTGCTCCCTCAGAGCTACCAAAGACCACCCAACCCCAGTGTGTCTGTCTGTCCTTTCTTCATTCTCTTATCGACCCCAGTCAGGGTTCTAGGACTCAGGCCATGCCAACATTTGGGACCGCCCTCATATTGCTTTGGTCAGAGTGTTTACCACATGATAACCCTGTCCCTTACCACACAAGACCAAACGTTAGAGAGCCACTAGCTGGGGACACACTTTATGACATTCAACTACACCAAGATTTGGTGACTAAGACTCTGAGAAGCACAGGCCATAAAAGTGAAAACGGGGGATGAGATTGCATCAAACTAAAAGCTCCTGCAGAGAAAAAAAAAAAAACAGTCAACAAAGCAAAGAGAGGGCTCACAGGATGCCAGAAAATGTTTGCAAATATTTCTCTGATAAGTAGTTAATATCTAGAATATAGCTGGGCAGTGGTGGCGCACGCCTTTAATCCCAGCACTCGGGAGGCAGAGGCAGGTGGATCTCTGAGAGTTTGAGGCCAGCCTGGTCTACAACAGCTAGTTCCAGGACAGGCTCCAAAGCTACAGAGAAACTGTCTCAAAAAACAAAACAAACAAACAAACAAAATTCAGAATATAAAAACTCTCACCAAACAAGAAAAAAAAGTTTAATTAAAAAATAGTCAGAAGATATGAATACGCATTTTCAAGAGAAAATGCAAATGGCCAATGGTAAACAAAAATGTCTCAGCACCCCTCCTCATTAAAGCATGTAAGTCCAAGCCCCTCTAGGTGCTATCTCACTCCACTAAGACAGCAAAGTCTGTCTTCTATGACCAAGAATATAAACAGATATCAGAAAATAGTATCATGGGTTGGGTCGGACAGTGGTGGCACATGCCTTTAATCCTAGGATCTCTGTGAGTTCGAGACCAGCCTGGTCTACAGAGTGAGTTCCAGGACAGCTAGGAGGTAGGTCTGTTATACAGAGAAAACTTGTCTAGAGAACAGAGAAACCCTGTCTTGAAAAACAAAAACAAACAAACAAACAAACCAACAAAAAATTGTAGTACATGTACACAGGGGACTGTTTAGTTGATAAAAAAATGAAATGCCATTAATCATTTTGGGTTTTTGTCTGTTTGTTTTAAAACAATATTTTATTTTGCATAACAATCCCAGTTCAGTTCCTTCTTCTCCTCCCACTTTCCCCATCTTCTCCCCATTCTACCCCCCATCCATTCCTCAGAGAGGGTGAAATGACATAGGACCAAGGCCCTCCCTGAAAAACTTTGGGGTGCCTTAGCACTACTACACCCCCCTCCTTGTGAACCAAGACCCGGGTAACTAACCACAGGTGCATTGGAGCTTTGAGTACTTTCCCTTGCCATTGTAATCTTTCTTCTATAGACCCAGGCCCTGGAACTGGGGTGAGACGACCCACAGGTGTCCTGCACGTAATCACCATAGCATTGATTAATTAAAGTTAGCCAACAGATAAATGAACTAGTCAAAATGGTAGACAAATGACTTCTGGACTTTCCCTTTGATTCTGTATCACTCTGTACTGATTCTGTACCACCCTGTACCCTGTAACACCCCCTCTCTAATTCTGTGATTTTCCCTTTAAAAGAACCTGTAATAGACAAAGCCGGGGTCCTTCTCTCGAGGCTGAGGGACCTCTGCCGTGGCAGAATAAAAATTCCTCTTGCTATTGCATCAACTGTGCTGAGAGTGTCTCTTGGGGCGACCTCCTCTTTGGTGGGGCTTTAGGGCCCAACATCCCCACTGTATCTAGCCTGAGCAAAGTATTCCTCCATAGGGAATGGGCTCCAGAAATCCAGTTCATGCACTGGGTTCCATTGCCAATGGCCCCACAAACTGCCCAACACAGCAGTTACCCACATTCAGAGGGCCTAGTTCAGTCCTATGCAGGTTCCCCACTGTCAGTTCAGAGTCAGTGAGCTCCCACTAGCTCAGGTCATCTGTCTCTGGTTTCCCCATCGTGGTCTTGACACTTTGCTCATAATATTGCTCCTCCCGCTCTTCAACTGGAGACTGGACTCTGGGAGCTCCACCAGCACTTAACCGTGATCTCTGCATCTGCTTCTATCATTTACTGGATAAAGGTTCTATGATGACAGTTAAGATAGTCATCAATCTGACTGCAGGGGAAGGCCAGTTTAGGCACCCTCTCCACTATTGCTTAGGGGCTTAGCTGGGGTCATCCTTATGGATTCCTGGGAATTTCCCTAGAACCAGGTTTTTAGCTAATCCCATAATGGTTCCCTCAATTGAGGTATCTCTTTCCTTGCTCTCCCTCTCTGTCCCTCCCCCAACTGAGCCATCCTGTAGACTTATGTTCTCCTCCTGCTCCTCTCCTCCTCTCCCCCTCCCCTTGTGGTTAGTAGGATTTGCTGCAGGAGGCAAAGGCAAGAGGATTACTGCCATCATTTGTAAACAACATGGATAAATCTAGAGGCCATTATGCTAGCTGAAATGAACCAGTCACAGACAGATGTCACATCGTCTCACACAGTGGAAGTCTTAGAAGGGCAGAGGGGTAGGGTGGCTGCAAGAAGCGCAGCGGCCAGAGAGCATCAGATCCTGCAGCCTGTGTTAGAGGTGACTGTAAGCAGCCCGGCCTGGGCTCTGAGAACCCAGCAGGGCCTCTGCAAAGAGCAGTGAGCACTGTTAATCACTGAGCCAGCAGTAACATTTCATATATTCTTAGGAAAACTGGAGATCACGATCTCCCCGGAACTTACTTAAATTTTTTACTCCTTTCTAGGTCACCTGCAATGGCAGGAGGAATTTTTGCTATAGACAGACATTATTTTAATGAACTTGGACAGTATGACAAGGACATGAATCTTTGGGGAGGAGAAAATGTGGAACTTTCACTAAGAGTAAGTCAGACTTCCTTTTGTTTTGTTCTAGTCTGTTTCCCCTATGTAGATATGTTTGTATAGAGAGAGATATGATGTTTCATTTTGTATTGAACGGAACCCAGTTTAGTGCCTACTGGGCCAGAGCTCTTACCTGAGCAAGAGAGCAATCTGACTTTTCATCTAGTTACACTCTTTCCTCCATTAGCATGCCGGACTGTTCTGGTGAGACCTGCAAGGGCATGCAAACAGATGATGGGGCTCCCTGGAAACACTTGGTAGGACTTTAAAGCCTCGACCATATGCTTTGTTGTTTTCAAAGCACGGTGCAGTAAACTAATAAGATATTTTAAATCTATGTGGGTTCTCTAGTTGTCTTGATAGTTATATAACCCCTCCCTGTTTTGTTTTTTATTTTCCCCTCCCTCCCTCCCTCTCTCCCTCTCTCCTTCCCTCCCTCCCTCCCTCCCTCTTAGTAGCTGATCATTTTCGTCATTGTATGAATGAAGAGACCAGAGGCCGATCTCAGGTCTCGTCCACCTTATTTTTTGAGAAAGTCACTAGCCTAGAACTTGCTGATTAGGCTGCAGCCAGAAAGCCCTAGGAGGTAGAAAGCCCTCTCTACCTCCTCAGTTTTGGGATTACAAGTGTGCACCACCACACCCATGTTCTTTTTTAAAATGGGTTCTGGGGATCAAACCTTCATCCTCATATTTATGTGGCAAGCACTATTGACTGAGCCCTCTTGCCAGCCCTATTTTATTCCTTATTCATTTTTGTCCTTTTCAGCACAGACGTCATAGGTTTATTGTGTTTACACAGGTCTCTCAGCTCCTACATGGACTCATCTTACACATTTGTTGCTTTCATTACCCCATTCATGCATTCCCTTCTGACCTTGGTAGTATTTTAAATACCCAAGCCACTGGCTCTTTTTATTTGGCTGGTGATCCCTGTTTTACTACATTGTTCTCTAAGACTATTGCCCAATAATATTTCCTCTCTTTGGACTTAACTATGAACACATTCTGTACCCAGAGTAGAACTACTTTTGTGAAGGTATGTGTATTTGCAAAGCAAGTGTAGGGGTCATTGAGATGATTCTGTGGGTAAAAGTGCCTGCTGCCAGCTGCCAGGTCGGCGGACCTGTGCTCAGTCCCAGGAAATTCCACAGTGAAAGGAAAGAACCAACTTCCAAAAGTTGGACCTCTGACCTCTACATGTGACCTGGTCCATTCATCACATGTGCGTGAGGACATAAACATAAACAGGTGTGCATGGTCTCTCTCTCTCTCAGTAAAATTTAAAATGCAATGAAAGGCAAATGTGTCCCATTTCTGGTCCTACATTCCTCACAGACAGTAAATGACACTAACTTCCTTTTCAGATCAATCAATTATTCTTGGCCAATATTTCCAATGATTCAATGGCTGTTTTGAATATCTGAAGTATGCTTGGATCTCTCTCTGTATAAACAAGCATGTAAATTTGTAATTAGTTTATGTACTCTTTTGACACTGGCCATTGAGAACAAAATAACAATTTTAAACTGGGCATGTGCCACCATGACTTTAATCTCAGCACTCAGGAGGTAGAGGCAGGTGGATTTCTAGAAGTTCCAGGTTAGCCTGCTCCTCAGAGTGAGTTCTAGAACAACCAGGGCTACGCAGAGAAACCCTGTCTTGAAAAACTTAAGCAAACAAGCAAACATACAAAACCCTACAAAATCATGTCTGGGCTGATAGGATCTGATGACACAGTGAAGTCTGCAGTCAGCCGGAGACATCTCTTGAGGGACCTATTTAGATTCAGTTCCTCTCTGCTAACTAACATCAAAGGCGTATCTTCTCAGTCAAGCTAAGGTGCAGCCCAAGCATTCAGACGATGGCACCCACACCCCAACCTTTTCTTTCATGCAGCAGTGTTTACTGAGGACCTGAGGACCTGAGGACCATATTAGTTCCCATCCTATGACAAAATAGCTGACAAAGGCAACTGAAGAAAGGGTTTATTTGAGCACCCACGCATCATGGTGGGAAAGAACTTGTAGGGCTGGTCATATTGTAGCCATACTCAGAAAGTAGAGAGAGATGAAAGCTGTTGCCCAGCACACTCTCTTTTTTCTATGCTGCCCAGGACCCCAGGCCACGAAATGGTGCTGCCCACTGTCAACAAAAGCCTTCCTACCTCAATGAAGCCGATCTAGAGACAACCTCCCCAACACACACAGGATGTTTATAGATCCTGCCAAGTTCACAACCAAACTAATTATCATAAGGGACACAGGGCAGTGTTACAATACAACAGTACACAGTATAAAATTAGCTTCCGATGCCATGGCTTTCGTCCTATCAGGGTACCAGTTATTTAATTTTGCTTTTGATAAACACAGTGGAGAAACACTGAGAACTCTGCAACGATATAAAAGGGGAACTGAACTATCATTTTTTTTCATAACTCTCCTGAAGTAGTAGCACTTGAGATGTAAAGGATTAACGTAAGCGGTTTGTTGGACAGATTCTTATGCCTAACTTACACTGCTGAAAAATTTTACAGACTTATAGAGATAATGGTACTGCCCTTATCTCTTAATTTTTATGAGAAAACAAAGACAGAGTACTTCCCAAGTTCACAAAAACAGTAAGTACTATGCTCCAAATCCACCGCTTTCTGCCTCTCAGAAAGCCTCCCTTTGCAGTCTTTTTTTTTCTCCCTTTGCAGTCTTGCAGCACGTCTCTACTGTCTGTGGAGAAGCTGCCAAAGCCCTGAGTTTTGTTTTGTTTTTGTTGAGTTCAGTGGCTGCCGTGCATCATGGAGAGCAATGGTTCACTGGATAGCCATGCAGCTATGCTTCATACCCAGCCTTTGAATGGTTCCCATAACCAGCTCTGGACTCCTGCCACTCAACAGTCCTGTTGACATTCAACAATCCTTGAAGTCAGGCGGTGGTGGCACACGCCTTTAATCCCAGCACTTGGGAGGCAAAGACAGGCTGATCTCTGTGAGTTCGAGGACATTCTGGTCTACAAGAGCTAGTTCCAGGACAGGCACCAAAGCTACAGAGAAACCCTGTCTTGAAAAACCAAAACAACAACAACAACAACAACAAAACCCAAACAACACAACAAAAAACCAGGCCGTGACCACGTGAAGTTTTAGCTTTCTAATTTTCCAGTGCCTGTCTCCATCCTGGCATCCTTTGTTTGAAGCTCCTTTGTTTGTTTGTTTGTTTGTAGAAAGAATTTCTCTTTGTAGCCCTGGCTGTCTTGGAACTTACTCTGTAGACCAAACTGGCCTTGAACTTAGAGATCTATCTGTGTCTGCCTCCCTAGTGCTGAGATTAAAGGTGTACATCATCATGGTCCAGTTTAAGACTGAACCTCTTTAGATATAGATGCCAGTTTAAATCCTGCTGGGTGCTCTGATTTGAAAACAAACCATGTATCCACTATAGAGTTCTCATACATTGACATCATAGAAGTTTCAGCAGATTTCCAACACTTTGCTCCTATGTGGACCATCTATCCACTGAGTCAATGGATCACTCTTCATGGGTCATGTGCTCAGAATTTTTGTTACTAAAGATATTAGGAATTACAGCTATTACCACAGTATCTATCAGTTATTACAACGGTTATGCTGTGGAATGAAGTATCTCAGAAATGGTGTAAAATACCAACATTTACCTTTCTCTCACTTATGTCCACGGTGGCTGGGGTGACTCAGCAGAGGCTGACTAGGGTGGGCTTTAGTTTCTGGCTTTAGTTGAGGTCTAGCATTATTTCCACAAATAGGCACCATATGGAACATGTTGTTCTCACTCTGAATGGCCAAACCGCACAGCATATTCCACCTTCTGTAGTCATAATGTGACTGACATTCTCTTGGCCAAAGCCTGTAAAACACACGTCCACAACCGATGTGCTCTCAGACCCAAGACGAGGGAAGGGCCATAAGCAAGTGTTTACTGACCAGAACTTGAATCTGTCACTCTGGGCTTGTGGAATGAACAAGTATGTCAGTGTCAAATTGATGTAAATGAAACTCGTGTTAGGAGAGCAGTGGTGTCTTCTATATCAGTTAATTTTTGCCAGTAAATTTTAACTAATGTGAAAAAAAACCTGCCTCAGAACACAGCTTAAAACCACAAGCAATTATTATTCCTCTCAATTTTTGGTGTTACTGCAATAGTGCTGGCCTTGACTAGAATGTCCGATTTCTATAGATGTTTCTACCTGTGTGTTCACCTGGTGCCCACCTCGAATGACTGGCTCAGTACCATCTGGGACAATGGGAACTACTTGGCCATTTGTCAAGCAGGCTGACACAGACTCCCTGACACCGGAGAGGTCACAATGTTCTCAAAAGTCACAAGAGGGGTCAAATCTAGGCAGCTGCAAGCGCCTTTCAAGCATCATGTGCTCTGGGCAGGCACTCTCCCAACTGGTTTCATCCCTAGTCCTGCTTCTTGTGCACTCTAGATTTGTCCCTAAAGGAGAAACATCCATATGGAGATTCCCTTTCCTACACCACTGTCTATGTAGAGATGGCCACAACTCTTCCTCTGTCTCCTAGTTTATGATCCTGTCAGTAGTGGGGTACGTTCGTTAGAGAGCATCTGTGACCAACCTAGTGATGAGGCTCAGCTAGCAGAGTGTTTGCCTAACATGCACAAAGCCCTGGGTTCAACCCCAACCCCACAGAAAGCCAGGCATGGTGGCACATGCCTTGTAATCCCTGCATTTCTGGCAGGAGGATCAGAAGTTCAAGTTTACCCTCAGCTATATAGGGAGTCTGAGGCCAGCCTTGGCAAAATAAAACAGAAGAGTAAACAAGCAGCTATCAGGACCTGTGGATTTGGGTTAAAATCTATTGCTTTCTTTACCTTGTTTCGTGGCAAACATTTTGAAAGACATTTTTAGTTTTATTACCTACTTTTTTTAAAAAATAAGTTGACTTTTCTTTTTTTTTCGAGACAAGGTTTCTCTGGATCTTCGGAGCCTGTCCTGGAACTAGCTCTTGTAGACCAGGCTGGTCTCAAACTCATAGAGATCTGCCTGCCTCTGCCTCCTGAGTGCTGGGATTAAAGGCATGCGCCACCACTGCCCAGTAATAAATTGACTTCTGTTTACTGTTCTGTGCATATACCCGTAGTCTCTTGAAACTAATGAACATCTCAAACAAACAAACAACATAGAAAAGGGGTGGAGCTCAGCAATAAGAGCACTGGTTGCTCTTCCAGAACACCAGGATTCGATTCCCAGCACCCGCTTCACAGCTCCCTACTAACTGAAAGTCCAGTTCCAGGGAATCCAATGACCTCTTCTGGCCTTTGCAGATATGACACACATATGTTACACAAACACATATGCAGACAAAATACTCAGACACAAAAAATAATTTAAGAAGTGGAAAAATTAGTATCATGGTAATTATAAAACTGTTAAATACATTAACAATGTAACAGCTGTTCAATTTTCCTTAGTTTTTCTTTTAAAAAGAGTGAAACATAGATTATTTCTATTTTTCAGTTTTTGCTATATGTTGAAGCACCCAGAACAGAAGCCTATATCAACAACTCTTAGGTCACAATTTCCAATGAAAATGGGAGCCAGTTGGAACACAGGCAGCCAAAACCATTGGCTAGGTCCATAAAAGACCTAACTGGAGTTCTAGAACAGCGCGCGGGGTGGGGGGGTACTCGGAGAAACGCTATCTTTAAAAAACATAACAACAACAACAACAACAATAATAATATAAAACTGGGGACTGGAGAGATGGCTCAGTGGTTAAGAGCACTGGCTGTTCTTCCAGAGGACCTGGGTTCAATTCCCAGCACCTACATGGCAGTCTACAAATGCCTATAACCTATCTTATAGGGAATCCCACATCTTCAAACAGACATACATGCAGGCAAAACACAAATGAACATACAATAAATAAACTGTTTTTAAAAAGAGATCTAACTGTTTGGACTTCTGGTGTAAGGCTTTTTCTTCTGTGTCTTCTAGACAAGGAATCTGAAGAAAGCATTCTGGGAGTTTCTGCCCTCGCCCCATCTATTTTCCCTAAATCAGGGTTTTGTGTAGCCCAGACTGGCCTTGAACTTCATCTTTACCCAAAGATGACCTTGAACATCTGATACTATTTCCAGCTCCTGAGTGCTGGAATTACAGTTGTGAACCACCAAGACCAGTGTATATAATGCTGGGGACTTAACCCAGGACTTTGAGAGTGCCAGACAAACATTATATCAGTTGAGTCATATTTCCAGCCCCACACAATATGTCCCAGTAAAAATCTTAACTTCCCATAATTGTTTTATAATGATTAAGTAAATTTCATCAGAAAAATATCTGCAACATCAGAACTTACGGTTTTGATGAGTTAGCACAGAGGGTCATCCAATCTGAGTGTGCATTTGAATCACAGAAAGAGGCTGTGAAAATGCAGACGGTTGGGCCCAAAACACGGGCTCTGGGTCAGTAGTTGTCAGGGGCCCATGGGTTTTCATTTTTTATCAAGTTTCCAGGCAATGTTGGTGTTACTGGAGTTCAGGAAACAGAATGACTACAGTAAATGTATCATATGGAGCTGGTGAGATGGCTCAGTCGGTTATGGCATTTGCCACTAAACCTGATGACCCAAGTTAGATCCCTGAGATCCACACAGCAGAGAGGACCAACTTCTGCAAAGTTGTCCTCTGACCACATGCCCATTTTGGCACATACACCACTCCCCAAATAAAAAGGTGAAAAAGTTTTGAAGATTAATTTGTGTGTGTGTGCATGTGCGTGCGTACATGGAGGGGAGGCATGCATTGCTACAGCCTGTGTATGGAAGTCAGAGGACAACCTACAAGAGTCTCTCCCTCCTATACGGGGTCCTAGGATCAAGCTCAGGTGATCAGGCCTGGTGGCAGGCCTTTCTACTCACTAAACCATCTTGTCGGCCCCTCTGTGTTATCTTTCACAGTGACGAGAAAGAAACCCCTAAAATTTTCAAACGAGACTTGCTTTTAATTGTGTGCATAAATGTGTATGTACATATATGTGCAGATACATGCCTACGCATTCGGAAGTCAGGAGGATGTCAGGTGTCCTCTTCTATCATGCTGCACCTCTATTCCTTTGACACAGATCTCTCTCTGAATCAGAAGCTCACTCTTTTTCTGCTAGGCTGGCATCCACTAACCCCCAGTAAGCCTCCTGTCTTCATCTCCCAACCCCTCCAGCATCGGGGTTGCAGGTATGTGCAGTCATGCCCAGCTTTTCGCATGGATACCAGGAGTCCAATTCAGATCCTTGTAGGGAAGTGCTTTTAACCCATTGAGCATTGTTTCTAGCCCAGGGCCTTTAAAACAGTTTTGCATAACCCACACGAAAGATAGTAAGCTATCTTAACGTATAGTTTCGCATGTCCACACACATACTTGAATTCTATTGACTAACCCCAGGTGCACAGATGTACATTTTCCTACACTGACAATTTTCAATGACCATATCTTGCTTTCACACAGTGAATGAAGTTATTACAATATCTGCTGTGAAGTGTTTTTATCCATAAACTACAAGTAACTGAACCCAGCCAGAAATGGTCTTTCTCTTGGTATTGCTTACACCTGGCAACATACAGCAGGAAAGAGAGAATCATTGCCACTCAGAACTCAAGTTCTCAGGCTAGACTTCCTAAATTTGGACCTGAGCTCGGCCACTCAGTTGTTCCACATCACTGGGCAAACTTTTTAATCAAACTGTGTATTAATTTTCTTATCTGTAAATGTGGGGGGCAGTCATAGCCTTAATGAGTTTATAAATTTATTACCTAAAATAAAAGGAATACGTATTAGAGATTAGGACTAGAGTGTAGCTCATCTGGTAGAATGCTTGCCTAGTATGAACAAAGACTTGGATTGAAGCCCAGCATGGTCTAAACCGAGCGTGGTGGTGCACCACTGTGCTCCCAGCACTAGGGAAGAGGAAGCAGGAGGATCAGAAACTCAGTGTCATTCCCAAAGAGTGAGTTCGAGGCCAATCTGGGCTACACACACATCTCAATAAGCAGTGTCAAACAAATATTAGTTATCTGTGTGTGTGTGTGTGTGTGTGTGTGTGTGTGTGTGTGTGTGTGTGTATGTTCTAAAGCAGCTGCTAGTTACTAGTAAAATAATTATGATTTTGTCTAGATTTGGATGTGTGGAGGCCAACTCTTTATCCTTCCTTGCTCTCGGGTTGGACATATCAGTAAGGCACAGAATCACAATAAGCCTGCGCTCGAGAACGCCTTGTCATGGAACTTACTGCGAGTGGTTCACGTCTGGCTGGACGAATACAAGGTGAATGATACCTTTGATTTGGGAGAGCAGGTTCTGAGCTGCTCTCAAGACTCTGCCGTCTTTCCAGATCCAAACTGTATTCTTTCCTGGTTGTAAACTAATGGAGCCCCTTCAAATTCTCACCCACTTGTGAAGAGTGGAGCCAGACTGGTGGACAGTTCGGCTCCCAACTGGTTAACCCTAAGCAGCTGGCCTTGCAATTTATTTTTTTAAGTTTGAATTTTAGGAAAATTCAAGTTTCTCAGAAGCAAATCACCCTGCAGCATCTTTCCCCACAGCTAAATCCGATTATCCTGTGGGGAATTACTCTTGCCCTCCCTGCCGCAGCAACAGGAGCAGACTTCTTCAGGTTTTTCTACTGAGCCACCATCAGTTTCCTGGGTAATGTGGTTGGTGTTGGTCTTTGTGCCTACACGTGAATTCCTTTTCTATCAACAGTCAAAGATTTCTATTTGCAAGCTTTGCCCTTGATTTATGTATGTCCCCAAGGATTACACCCTGTTCTCCAAGGGCACATCTCTGTCCAGATGCCATGCATAACAGCAGGCCTCCTCTAAGATAAACACATAGTATATCTCTGACGGTGTCCTGGTCTTCACCTTACGTTTCTGTCCTAGTCTGCTTTTCTGCTGCTGTGATAAAACACTGGCTAAAAACAACTTGGAGATAGTAATGTCCCTTGTACGTCCACATCATGGACCACTATCCAGAGATGTCAAGTCAGGAACTCAAGCAGAGAACACAGAGGCAAACTGCTTACTGGCTTCCTCTCTATGGCTTCTTCAACATTCTTTCTTTCTTTCTTTCTTTCTTTCGCTTCTTTCTCTCTTTTATTCTTCTGGTCTCTGCAGGCACTTGAACTCAGGTATACATACCTCCACAGAGACACATACACATAATTAAAATAAATGTCCTGGCATGGTGGTACATTAAAAGACTAGCATTCCAGAGCAGAGGCTGATCTCTGAGAGTTCAAGGCCAGCCAGAGCTACATAATGAGAATCCTGTCTTAGAAAAAGAAATCTTTGAAAACAAGGAAAAAGGAATATAATGGACACACGTGATTTATTTAGTAGCTATAATTCTGTACAGCACTGCAAACCCATAAATTATAGATAATATGCCAAAAAAGTCTCCATATATTAGATATAATTAAGCTGTGTATTTCTCCTAATCTTTTTTTTCCCTTTTTTTTCTTTTTGGATTTTCGAGACAAGGTTTCTCTGTAGCTTTGCAGCCTGTCCTGGAACTAGCTCTTGTAGACCAGGCTGGCCTCAAACTCACAGAAATCTACTTGCCTCTGCCTTCCAAGTGCTGGAATTACAGGCGTGTACCACCACCTGCCCAGTGTTGTTTGTTGTTTAAGACAGGGTTTCTCTGTAGTTTTGGAGCCTGTCCTAGAACTAGCAGTAGACCAGGCTGGCCTTGAACGCAAAGAAATCCACCTGCCTCTGCCTCACGAGTATTGGGATTAAAGGTGTGCACCATCACCGCCCAGCTAAAGATAGAGGGTTTTAAATCTCACAGAAAACTGCTCCACAGCAAGAGGAATGGGCATTTTTAGTTCCAGTAATGAAAACACGTCCTGATGTTTGCCATCATGGTCTGATTACCAAAGCTTTTGTTGTTTAACACAATGATTCTTTGTTTTCATTTAGGACAACTTTTTTCTTCAAAGACCTTCTTTGAAATATGCATCCTATGGGAACATCAGCGAGCGTGTTGAATTAAGGAAACGACTGGGTTGCAAGTCATTCCAGTGGTATTTGGATAACATCTTTCCAGAGCTGGAGCCATTTATATACACTGATAAAAAGAAACGAAACAACTTTCTTTAATAAAGGGTGAACAAGTCCCCTAGCTCTTCAACATATGGCACCACAGGACAAATGCGGAGCACCATGCAGCTGTGTGAAATACAATGAGAAATACAATCAGAGGGGCCGGTCTCTCGAGTGCCTTTCTTCACCTCTACTGACAGTTCCTCCTTTTCTGCTCATCTGCCATTGAAGTTCTGGGGATAAGGACCTTGAAATTAGAAATGTAAGCTCTCTCATGGTTCAGTTGCTGGTATATGATTGACCCGGATAAAATATATTGATGGTGATTATCTGACCAATTCACCAGTCTCATGGGCTGACATGATTGCCTTAGGGAAATGTTCACAGAGAGCCATGACTGGTGTACAGTGGCTGAGTTGGATCAAGCTCCTTTCTTGCAGCCAGTGTAGAGTATGAGGCTGCCTCCTGGCTTGTTTGGGTTCCTAAGAGTGATGTCCAAATCACCTAGGCTTAGGCTTAAGTTCTCCAGGCAGGTTCCTCATATGTTCCTGATGGCCGCCCTGTCCCGAGTCACTCTTCTCTTCTGCGTCTCTCATGTCTGTCCTCAGTCCTGTGACCTACAGCTTTCTGGGTGCTTCTTGAACTAAGCCTTGTTAAGCTCTAACCAACTCTTAATTGGGTAGATAGGGCTAGGGCAGAGCAGCTGGCTTCCCATCTGCCATGCCCAGGGACACCTCAATGCTTTGTAAGACTTTAAGACAATTCTGAAGCCATTTCTGACAATTCCAAACCCTCTCAGCCTCTGTGCCTTAGTGCTTCCCCTCCTCCCCTGGAAACCAAGAACCTAACAGCTACACATGCACGTACTCAGTTCCTGAACAATTACCCATACACGTATGTTTTGACTCAGTCCCCTGGGAAACGGGGTCAAAATGACCTCTTACCTCATCTGATCTGACAATAGTTCTCCAGTCAATTATTGGTATTAGCCCTTCTCAAATAAGCCAATCATAATGGTCAAGGAACAACCCCTCTTGTTTTATGGGGCCTTCTCCTTTAACAATAGACTGTACCAGCTAGTTGGGGTCTCTCGGCTTCCCGAATGCTGAGGGACCCTGTCATGACAGAATTAATAAAATCCTCATGCTTTTGCATTGGCTGTGGTATGTGAGGTGGTCTCTGGGGGCGACTCCTTCTTGGTGTTTGGATGCTAGAGTCCAACAGCTTAAAGTACTTCTTTGGGTTTTGAGGGATGCTGTAAGGTTCATCCTGTTGGAAGTGAGTCTAAGAAGGTCAAAGAGAAATAATTCACAAAATCTATAAAGAAAATGAGGGAAGAAATACACGGAAAGGACAAAAAGGGGGCAATGTTGTACAGGATCACCAAATGTAGCCTATCTCAGTTTCCTCAGCACTGCCATAAAGTTCCTGAGGGGTTTCTAGCAGGAACGAGCATCCCGAATGGGGGTTCACTGTTGTCCTCTATTTCGTAAGCTTCACCCACTCAGGGATACCAGGTGAAATGGTTAATCTTCATTATTACTTTGACAGGAGGCACCCCTCTTCTGGGCATGCCTTTGAGATTATTTCCTGAGAGGTTTAGCTGAGTAGGGAAAACCCATTGCCAATATGGTGGCTATAACACACGGAACAGGGACTGGATTCAATAAGAAAGGATAAAAGGGGAAAGCAAGATGCACATCAGCCTCTCTCTGCCTCCGAAGGATGCAATGCTGACAAGCTGCCTTATACTTCTGCTACCATGGCTTACCCACCACAGTGGAGGCCAGACCCTCAAATTGTGTGCCAAAATAAGCCCTTAACTTGCTTTCGTCAGGCACAACGCCACACAAGAAAAGTAAGATGGTGCACGAATGCGCTAGAGCCCTTGCAAGAGAGGGCCGTCCCTGAAACAGCCACCAGTTCCAGTTAAGGTGAATTGCTGTGTGGACAACAATGGAAACTATGAGCACTGGACAGCAACTGTCTGACTGAGGGCGATGGCTATGGAAGGGCACAGGTAAGGGTCATAGGACCTCAGTCCTGTGGAGAGACCTAGGTAGCATAACATAGCATCCTAAACCCTGACAATACTGACAGATATTTGGCAGGATCATGTATTGTAACATGAGGGGCCGGCTTGAGAAATGGTGTGGGAGAATTATCTGTATTCTGTCAATCATGTATTTTAATAAAACGCTGATTGGCCAGGCAGGAAGTATAGGCGGAAAAACCAGACAGGAAGTAGAGGTGATGCAATGAGAACAGGAGAATTCTGGGAAGCAGGAAGCTTCCTCTGCCATTCACCATTGGGTGATCCTGCCCAGATCACCGAAGAGGCAACAAGTGAGTTGACAGCTGAAAAAGGTACCAAGCCATATGGCTAACATAGATCAGAATAATGGGTTAATATAAGCTATAAGAGTTAACAAGAAGCCTGGGCTAATGGGCCAATCAGTTTATAACCTAATGTAGACTCTGTGTTATTTTCTTTGGTAACTTACAGAGATCTCTGTGTGATTGGTTTTCTCTGGGACCTGCCGGCTATGGGGTACCGGGCGGGAAGAGATACCCCAACAAGCCGGCCCTCATGCTACAATGTATGGATTAATTTTGAGCCACTGTGACCACAACTTAAAGGGACAAGATTTAATGTTGGCTCATGGTGGGTGAGGGTTCATTGTATGGTTGCTTGGCCATTGCCCTTGGACAGAACTTCAGGGTGACAGTAGTGTGTGGGGTAAGTTACTTTGTGATGGACAGGGAGCCCAGAGGAGACTTGGACCACTGGACCAGGTAAACTCCTCAAAGGGGCACCCCCCACATCTCCCATCCTCCCCCATCCTCCTTGCTCCAGACTGGCCCCGCCTCCTAAAGTTTTCCAGAACCTTTGGAAATTGCACAACCAGCTGCACCAAGCTCTCACATACAAGCCCGGGGCGGGGTGGGGGGGGAGCACTTCAAGCCACCACAGCCAGTTAATGAAGGACTGTGTTCTGGGTTAATGCTAGATAGAATGATTCATTGATTTGGGTCAAGTGATGCTGTTTTCTTAATAATAAGGGATGCAGAATTTCCTCCCTACAAGTGTCCGGTTCCTCTACCAGACACCACGAGACAAGAGTTTAAAAAAATGTTAAGGTCTTGACTGAATAGCATTTATTTCAGAGGTGACAGGATTCAAGATTTAGATATCTGTCAATGTAATGCAGTATTACTGGACCAAAGACCAAAACCCTTACCATTTTGTTAGAGCTGCTAAATTCTCTCTAGCCGGATTGTGCCTCCCTCACATTCTTCCTGTGAACAAGTCGCCAGCCCTACCTTCTCCCCTACACTTCTCTCAGGAGTGACGGGGAACTTTCCTGAGAGGAAAATGCTAAGGCCGCGAGAGACAGAGCTTAGCTCCGCGCTGGCCTGGGAGGAGCCGGGGCCGCGTGACGCCACGCCGCGGGCTGTGACGTCATCCTCGG